AAACGCAATGGTAAAAAAGGAATGACGAGGGAAGACAGATTTTTGTGCTGTGGTTTGACAAAAAAAGATTTTTCATGAATGTATTTTGCAATAAAGTGTAAGGCGCTAGTAGCTACACTACCATGTGGACAAATAGCATATAGCGCACATTCAATTTTTCCTTGTTTTGGATCTGTACGCTGCCCAGGTTTATAATTAATAAATAGTTTTCCACTTTTAAGGTCTGGAAATGTCGAATGCTTTTCTGTGTTGGTATGAATAAAAACTTTGATTTTTTTCTTCATGACACTTTTATCTAGATCTTCAAGACTTTTCCTTATTTTCGGATCACCAAAATCAATAGTTGGAAGAAAACTGAATATTGTGCGTGTCCTGATACTTCCGATCACAAACTTTCGTATAGTGCTCAGTAACAAATAAAAGGCACTTTTATGATCGGCCGACCTTTCAGAGCAAAATAAATAGTCTTCTCCATGAACCTCTACTTGGATGTATGCGTCTTGGTCAGGTATATCGTGCATTAGATGATAATATACATGCGCGCATGCGTTATACAGTCTTTTACATCGGGAGGGTCCAAACAATGCTTTGTACTCGTCTTCATATTGCTCGAAAGTTAACGAATGCGTTAAATAATAGCAAGCCACGACTATAGGTCCGGCACGCTCGCAAAAATGCTCCCAAAAAGAATCATTACGCCCAATTTTAGAAGTTATTTTTGAACTGTATATACTTTTATAATATTTCAAGCAAAAACATGAATCTATATTGGAAAAGCCTCCCTTCTTGAAAAGTTTACGTAAAACATTTGGATGCACTACGATATCTGTGGGAACATAACTGTTTTTCTCGTCGTCCAAATTTATTGCCGTTTCCGAAGGCTTCTCTTTAGGTAAAGCTCTTTCCTTTGCGAAGCAGAAACGCTTTGCATCGTTAATCATTCTTTTCAAGCACTTTGCTTTGCTGATGAAGCGTGTAGTAATCGCGCGGCAATACTCTGCTGGTAATGAATGATGCGCCTGATGCTCCAGTGAACACCTGTCAATGGGCAATATTCCATCATTATCAGTCGATAGAACGACTGGAACGTTAATGTTGTACAAAGAGGACAGAGGTTTTGTATTTTCTGTATTTCTAATAGCATCGCCAAGAAGATAGAAATTACTAGTTATATTCACTTCAAAAGGAATTGATGAGAATACTTTCTTAGCATTTTCCTGTATTTCTGCGACTAGTACACTAGATTTACGAAACTTATAATTTTTGATAGATAATAATTTATCAAATGCAATACCATGACCAACACGAATATTAGATTCTAACTCTTCCTTCAGAAAAGCGAGACAACGATAAAGAATATACATGTGCGCTGCAAATAGACGATAACCAGGTAATTCAGGACGAGCGAATGGGACATTTTCTCCGGAATGAATACGCGTGCCAAAAGCACTATTTGCTTGTCTAGCATCTCGAATAAATCGTAGGAACTCAAAAGCAACAAAAGGACAATACGGATATCCAAGTTCATCTCCAAGTAAGTCAAGTCCTACTACCCAGTGATAGAAATCTTCAGTATTTGTGCTGGCTTTCTCCAATTTCTTCAATTGTTTTACCTGTTCAGTGAATATAATTGTCTCTCGCTGCTTTTTACTTTGATAAAATTCTCTTAGCATAAGATGAATCGCATAAGACGGTGCTTCATTTAAGAAGTCAAGTGATTTATCTGCTGAACAAGCATTACTGATTGGTGATATTCGACGATTGAATCCTGCCAGAAACCGATAGTCAATACTTTTTTCAAAACCATTTGTTTTAAGCCATGGAAAGCTTTGGTTAACTAGATAATGAAACTTGTTGAATTTTTTATCATTTGAAAATGTAGTTAAAACAGCAAATACCCAAGGACGGCTTAAATCACCACAACCAACCGAAAATTCGCAATAATTAACCTGTGGTAAACATGTTGAAAAGCGATATAGAACGTTTCGTAACAGAAATGCTAATAAATCAAGTCGTTGAGCATATATCGAATCTTTTAAAGCAAATCTTCTAGGATCGAATTCCGGTGTAAATTTACCACGAAACGAATGGAAATCTATTGAACGTGGTTCGCTGCCATCTGCGTTCATCATAGAAAATGCATTCATTATATGTGCTCGTGCATCACGTTGTGCTGGATCCGTTAACTGATCAATAGGCTTTGCTCCACCAATAAGCATACGCAAATCATTGGCTTGCATACCATATACAATTTGTAATTTTTGTTTTCGTGCATCAAAGATGATCCAATCTTTAAAAAATGTATACTTTTCCCAATCTCTTGTTTTGTACACACCTAACTTTTCTTCAATTATAGCCTGCTTCATATCTCTTGGCTGGTTTTCTTTTAGTCCGAGCCCTTTAGCAAGATTATCTAATGATAAAACGACATCGTATGAGAACTCCTCAAGCGACAAGTCAAAGTGTCTCAGTTCTTGAGAAAACTTATCGGTCACCAAGATCTTTAAAACAGGATCGCAGTTAAAATCACCTAATTGGTTTAGATCGGAACAACAACGGAGTTGGTCAAAGAATTCTTTTGTTTTGGTTCGGTTAAAAAATTGTTTTTTTGCCCTGTCCCATACCAATGGCCCTAATTTACGTCGTAAATCATCGTTCGTGAGAAAGTTATCCTGATTAGGTAGTTTTTTTTGATCGGTTAAAATATTATTAACCCAGAATGAAGCATTTCCCATGCCCATAAGGTGTGTATGTAATTCATATAAACTTTCTTCTTCTTCCAAGCAGTGCATCAGTTTTGCAGCTTGCCATTCTTCTTTGTCAGACTCTGAAGAGTATGAAACTAAGTAATTTTCCGTTTATAAAAGGTATTGCAAATAAAGTGTCTTACCGGATCGTTTTCGTTTATTATTAAGTCTATCAGTCATTATTTCCAGTTTCACCTAAAAAACACTAAAATAAACAGCCTTAAGATCATCGGTTTTATACCTAAATTTGATCGTTTCCATATTCTTTTTAATTGTCTTATTTACTTTGAAATGAACTCTGTTCCTATGAATATTACTGTTTGACACATTATTTCCGCATATTTTTGAATCTTTGTAAATGGTGTGGGTGTGAGTGGGTGTGGGGTGTGGGTGTGGGTGTGGGTGGATGTGGAGTGTGGGTGTGGGTGGGTGTGGGTGTGGATGTGAGTGTGGGTGGGTGGGTGTGGGTGTAGGTGTGGATATTGGTGTTCACTTCGCCCACACCCATCCACCACACCTACACCCACACTCACCCACACGCACACTCAGAAACACATCCACATCCACACCAACACGCATACGAACCCGGACCCACCCACATCCACACCCCACCCACACCCACACCAACACTCCACACCCTACTGGATCAGTATAACTTTCATGTTGAACTTCTCACAGCTGATCTCGATGAAATACGATATATATCAATAACAATCGAAGCTACATTTTGTCTGAACTTCACTTAGACTTCAATTTACTCTTTATTGAGAAGTATTCTTCGCCGTGGATGACACAAAATAAAACGTTCCAAAAGTCAGCACAGAAAACTGTATGCCTAAGTGTTGAACAATTCAAGTGAAAAGAACATGAGCTTGCTAGCATTTCATTTGATGCTGCTTAAAGTTTTATTTCTCATAATTCCATCTACGCTAGGCGTCTTAAATGATCGTATTGAACTTAATTACACACGTCTACGCTTCTCTCAGTGTCTGAAAAAAACGTTACAGTGTTTCTTTCGGAATCATCTTCTTTTCTTTGTTGAATCTAATTCTATTTCCACCAGACCTTAAATAGGAATCTGACTCACATTGTTTTTGATGTTTTTGTATAGAACTTGTGCTGCGAATAAATCTTTACTTAAATACTAATAACAAAAATCCGATACGAATATTAAGTAAAAATAAAACTAATAACGGTTGAACATATCCATCTGAAACATACCACGTTTACATCGAAGTTCGGCGCCAGCGGCGGAACCTAGTGTATCTTGTAGAGAATGTTTTTCTGATTAAAACTTACAGACTGAAAAATCGAGGACTGATGCGCGACTTGAGATAAAAGCAAAATACTTTTACGTTGATAATGGTGCCATCTATCATTTTTTCCTGATAAAAATGACTTTCTTGATGCTGCCTTAAATGAACTATTCCTGCTTAAGTTCTATCTATATCGATATCAACCTAAAGCTTATAGTTGACCGCTTCATTCGTAACAAGATCAGCTTTGCTATACGTGCCTGTGTTGAGAAAATCAATTTCGAACGAAGGCTATTTTTCTCTTATTTAATTGATTTTTTTTAATCATGGAGGATAATATCACTGAAGTAATGTGTATAAAAATTGTTTGTCTCATCGAATAGATAGTTTTAAAAGAGGAAAATTAATCAGATGCTTGTGCGATATTGCAAAATGACATATTAAAGTTGTCTATTTTCATTAATACAGATGTTAGGACAATAAACATAGTGAAGATATCACATAAACTTTAATATGTCATCTTGCAATATCACATAGAAGATCTGAATACTTTTTCTCTTTTGAAAGTATCTATTCATGCGGAAAAACTATTTCTATAGATATTATTTCAGAAATATTACTGTCCATGATTACTAAAAAATCAATTAAATAAGAAAAAAAATAGCCTTTGTTCGAAATTGATTTTCTCAACACAGGCATGTATAGCAAAGCTGATCTTGTCACGAATGAAGCGGTCAACTATAAGCTTTAGGTTGATATCGATATAGATAGAACCTAAGCAGGAATAGTTCATTTAAGGCAGCATCAAGAAAGCCATTTTTATCAGGAAAAAATGATAGATGGCACCATTATCAACGTAAAAGTATTTTGCCTTTATCTCAAGTCGCGCATCAGTTCTCGATTTTTCAGTCCGTAAGTTTTAATCAGAAAAAAGTTTTCTACAAGATACACTAGGTTCCGCCGCTGGCGCCGAACTTCGTGTAAAAAGTGGTATGTTTCAGATGGATATGCTCGGTTATTATCATATTCAATCATTTTTCATAAAAAAATGAATCAAACCAAAAGCTGCCTATTGATAATGTATTACATACTTGTAGCCTTTGTAAGTTTCAAAAGAAAATATTTTTTATTAGTTCTGTATTTATATAGTGTCTATCAAACAAAAACAATATTGACAGACAATATATATGAGTCTCTCCAAATTTTGAATACAATTTCGATAACTTGCAATCATACTGATGACGACATATGGTCTCAATTTATCATACTTTAGAGTTATGAGTTTCGTCATTTTTCTATACATGTTAGCGATTCTTGAACAAATAAAAGAGTACATACAGACGAGCCGGTGCTTTAAAACAAATTATTCTCTAACATGGTCTACATATAAAACAACGACCATAGATATGGCGCAAAGAATATTGAGTAACACGAGGACGAAAATAAAAGTAATGTGAATTCTATTGTTCTATTTTCCTGCATAAAAACCTCCATAACTATCAGGGAAGCAAATCACAGAAAGAAAACACACGTAAACTAACTTATTGCATTCTTTTCGTGAAATGCTGAACAAATACACCAGAAATAAATCAAGGAAAAAATTAAGCTAAATTAAGTTATTCGATTTTTCTCATAAGGTGCAGAAAATTATTGTTGAAATTAATAGAGAAAAACAAGACCAATATATTTGCTTTCCTTCAATATAATGCTCGACAACTATCGGATAGTGTGGGTGTAGATATAAATTCCACCTATACCCACACCCATAGGCGGCAGAGCCATTAGGCTTGGGAAGGCTCGAGCTTCCCCTAAAAAAACTTAGGAAAGGCTTGGGGAGGCTAAATATTTGAAAACGTTTTACAAATTTCATCCTACATTTGTGTTTTGCTAGCAAGAACTCTTTGAACGAGACTTGTCTGGTGTTTTCGTGAAGGATACATTCAGTTAGACGTTAGATAGCCCGTGTTCACCACTTTATTTTTCTAAACATCTTGATCTATGGCCGCTAATGACTTGTTGATAGAGAAGAAGAGTCAACCCATGCAACTCGTCTGCAGCGCAGGTATGTCTTAGTCGATCATAGAAGTTTTTTCTCCGCTTTAGTATTATAAAAAGTATGGGAATAACAAACGAACAATTATCTTTTGACAGATAAAAGGCATGGTACTTAGTGTCAAATTACAGCTGTTTCAAAATAAAAATCCGGATGTAGTTGCTAATGATCATGCAGTTAGTGCAATAAGTTCACACATAGCGTCAATTGGTTTAACTGTTGATATTAATATTTCTCGTTTAGAACATGACACGAACATTTTAACTCACCATTTTTTGATTATTACCTTAGAAATGACTTTTGGTATGAAGAGAATTTCAAGTATTCAAACTATCTATGATATATCTATTGTGTAATCAGTGGAAAAATAACTATGTTCTGTTAATTTAATAAACCCCCTCCCAGAATAGAATACCATCCTATATTAGAAGGCCATCTACAAGAAAAGTTTCGCAAGGGGTAATAGAAGGCCATGGGTTTTCAGAAAGGTTCTTTTCAGAAATTCAGGAGGATTTTTGGGATTGTAGCACTTAAAAGCCTGGTTTTTAATTAAAAAAACTAAGGCTTCATTATTAAAATTCCTTTTTTCTAGTAAAAAAAGCTACTTTTGTGGTACTTGGCTGCAAAAAATATCCGTTTGAATGCCAAAAAACTTTTTCAAAAAAACCCATGGTTTTCTAGGACAATGCTAGCAAAAAACCAGTCCACATTAGAATCAGAGATGGGCATCTCCATGGTAACAAGTCATAGAGTCGCTACTGTCTATTGCATTTCCCCTCGACAGTAGCGACCCTATGACTTGTTACCATGGAGATGCCCATCTCTGCTTAGAAGGCCATCTTGAAGGAGCGATGTAAATTTTCATAATAGAAGGCCATGCCTTTTTTGTTCTGCGAGAGGTGGTGTTGCACTAAAAACGTCTATATTCGACGATTCTCGTCACAACTGGTAAGGGTAAAAGATCTTTTGATGTTAAGAACTGAATGAATGCATCTAAGAGCAAGCATGGCGCAACGACGTTTAAATCATATCATTATTCCTCATATTCATAAGAAAAAGTACGATAAACTGGATTTGAACAGTATCTTTTTCTACTTTATTTCAAAAAAGCAACAGAAAAGATTTTTTTTGGGATCGTGAATACTATTTTCTAGTTCAATTTTATATATTCATTTTAGATTAGATTTGAACTTTTTATGTATGTGCTGACCATTAATTAGAAAATTGAACACAGCAGTAAAATTTTTCATTACGTTTTAAGCCTTGACATGAAGGAGCACAGGTATACATTTTCAATGGAGTGGGAATTACTCAAATAGAAATTGGATCGTTTTTTTATCTTGCCTCTCATGATCGTCTGAGGAAAAATTTTGAGCCTTCTCTAGATTAAAACCGTTCCGCCGCCTATACCCACACTAACTATATTAATTACTAATCTAGTGTATTCTTAACTCTTTGGTAATGAGTCACTTATGCAGTTTCGCTGAATGGTGACTTGAAAAAAAAATAAAAAGAAGAACGACTTTTCATATTCAACTGTTAACTTGTAGGGTGAGATTGAATATTTGTCGAAGGATATAACTAGAAATTCATTCATATGTTATTTTTTAAATTTAGATAAAAAGTTCTGCATTAAGATAGGGTGTCGATATTGGATATCGGAACATAGATTTCGCGTTCCCCCATAGTAGAACGATTATCAGTTTCCTTTGACTCTGTTGTGTTTTTTCCAAAATGATATAAAAAATCATAAAAAAATACAACTATCTATGCGTTATTTAAAAACAAAAGATGTAGCTGTCGTTCTCAATCAGAATTAAATTTTCATTATAAAATGCGCAAAAGCTCGTAGAATAATTGAACAAAGACAACGAAAACAACCTATTCTCTCCGTTTCTATCAGAAACTAATCAATTAGATTGTTCTTTCTATAACATGTACGATCACTCTCAAAATATCTCAATGATGAAAAAGAAAAAATAAACACAACTAACCTTTTAGTCTTTTCTCGCAAAAATGACGAGCAATACACAGAATAACCGACTGAAAAAAAAGAAAAAAAAGCGTTTTTCCATCCTGTTGCTTCTGTAAAATCCGTGGCACGACATTTCCGCGCGTGACACTTGCGCGCCGACACTTGAGCGCCGACACTCTAGCGCGCGACACTTGCGCGCACGACTCTTACGCGCAAATTTTTTTTTCTGTTCTGTTTCTATATTATCAGAAAAAATTAAACTCATCACCATGAATAAAAGGAAGATGTTCTGTTTTTCATTATTGGATCAATTAATATGGATAAAAAGGGATACCAGGATGATAGGATTAATTAGTATTAAATGAGTAAGTATAATTGACAGATAGGCGGGATGAAATAAGACGAAAATAGACCAAATATAAATATAAACACAACATAAGTGTGCATACAAATTATTCTGACAATTTTTTAAAGTAAAAACATGTCTGTCATCAAGTCAATTAAAGGAAGCGATCAACTTCTTCTCGATGGTTTTCGTTCTCGTCGAGATAGATTAGTATGGCGTTGTGTAAAAGCTAACTGCAAAGGGCGTGCTCGTCATGATGGAAATATTTATCAAATGTATCAAGATCATATATGTCAAGCACCAGATCCAAATGAAATTGAAAAAGCTTTATTTAATTATGAAATTAAGAAGAAAGCAGAACAATGTCATGATCCACCAAGATTAATTATACACGAAGCACGGCTCAAATTATCATCAGATGCTGCTATTACTATTCCACAATGCACTGCATTACAACGTTCGATTCAACGTATTCGACAAGATGAAAATATTCCAACAGAACCTAAAACATTTGCCGATATTGTTATTCCACCAAATCTTCAAAATACTGTTACAAATCAAAAATTTATATTGTATGATAATAATGATCATCATCGTCGATTATTAATATTTGCCAGTAAAGAACAATTAGATTTTTTGAATGGATGTGAGAGCTGGCATTGTGATGGCACATTTGCTGTAAGTATTCAAAATATAATCGAGATTTTTAAATACTTATTTTTTTATTTATAGGTAGCTCCACGATTATTCGAACAGATGTATTCTATTCATGGTTCAATACGTGGAAAAAATTTGCCATTAGTTTACTCACTTTTACCAAATAAAAATCAAGAAACATATGAAGAAGTATTTACAATTGTTAAACAGCACATTGAACGTAAACCAAAATACATCACAATTGATTTTGAAAAAGCGGCTGAAAACGCATTTGGTGTTATATATCCGCAATGTGATATACTTGGTTGCTTCTTCCATTTTAAACAATGCATATGGAGAAACATTTGTGTAAGTTTATTTTAATCATAATAAGTTAAATGGTTTTCTTTTATGGTATGTTTAATATTTTAATTTTTTCTTGCAGGAATTACATTTGAAAAAAGAATTTCTTGAAAATGATATTAGTCGTCGTTCAATGAAAAATTTAGCAGCATTAGCTTTTATTCCACCACAAAATGTTATCGAAGAATTTGTTCGAATAAAAGAAAATGCGTCAGATGTATTAGATGGTAAGAAGATGTTTGCATAATTTTTTAAAGACTTAATCTAAAAATTTTAAATTAAAAAAAAAATTTTACGCGTAAGAGTCGTGCGCGCAAGTGTCGTGCGCTAAAATGTCGATGCGCGTAAGTGTCGTCGCGCTCAGGTGTCGTGCTCTCAAGTGTCGTGCGCTCAAGTGTCGCGCGCGCAAGTGTCGGCGCTCAAGTGTCGGCGCGCAAGTGTCACGCGCGCAAACGTCGTACAACCGTAAAATCTCCGGCAACTATCGGAAGAAGTAAAATAAAAAAAGAGGTAAACTAAACTAGCTGTCTCTGTTTCTCTGTGAGGGTGTGGGTGTGGGTGTACGTGTTTTTTCAGCTACACCGACACCCACACCCATCTAAATCATTTTTTCCAATTGATAAAATAGATTTAATCAACATACACTCACCGTTCCATCTGGTGACATTTGTTTTGTTGATACTTTTATTTAACGGATCAAGTATATCTCCCATTTTATTCGATTTACGTGAGAACTTGAAAAGAGTGCGGCATTTGCCCAATACCTTTGATATGTTTATTAATTTAAAGTATGATTGATTGAGACTATATAGAATTATCAATATGATGCCACTTTTATTCAAAATACACATGAATTTGAGATAGAGGAAAATTTATGATCTGTCAATACTCTTTTTTATTTCAAAGACACTATGTCAACACAGAATTAAAAAAAGTTTGCTCAGTCGAAAATCGCAAACGTTATGAATAGATAACAAATTCTCAATAAACAGTTTTCACTTTACATATTGATTAAGAGAAGGATATTTGAACATGTTTGGGCTCTCAATGTACGTTATTTAATAATCGTGGTATTTCTTCATCATCTTCGAAGAAAAATTGAATGAATTCTTTTATTTCAACTTTCTTCGTCCTTGTTTTTCTGACCCTGCAGATATTCACATCGATGACAGTGTGTTCTATATTAGAACGTAAGCGTTCGGGTATAGTTATATGTCAGAATATAGATGAATTGATTACCCACGCCCACGCTCATATCGTCAATTTTTTATCGCTCTTCTACTAATAGATCATCCTGTATACACTTTGATTTTAGATGAAAGTAATGAACGAATGGCATGCGAGAGATTATCTTTTGGGGGAAAATGATGTCTGTAAATAGTTTATTTCTACAGATCGCGTTCATTGAAAACATTGCCAACATGGCGTTATCAAACCTGAGACAACATTGATGAGTCTCTGGGCAAGTCACTAAGAAGGATGTGGGAATAAGTGGAAGTGGGAGAGCTGGTTTCTTCGTTTAACTCATCTTGACACTCACACCCCGATTTTCATCAGGTTTTTTATTTTGATTCACCAAGACCACATAGATAATCGTCCTTTTGCCAATTTTAAAGCATAATCAGACTGATGACACATTCAAAATGAGCAAATTGTAACTATACAAGCTTTCAAATATATCGAAGAAACAAAAGATGGATCAATTCAATTTAACAAGTTTTAAATACATAAAACAACTATCAAATTGTTAAGCGAATCAGTGCAATGTTAAATTTCTAGAGGAGCGGATAAAATGTCATGTCTATCAGATTGTCGATTTTGCGAATGGATAAGTATTGGATAAAATACTTCACAAAAATTTCTCTTATTTTACTTTGCGCCTTTCAACTTTAGGATGAATTTCGCTTGTATGCAATAGATTTAATCTGGAGATATGAGCAGCGAAAGTTGGTCTAAAAACTGATTTTTACTCAAATCGTGGAATCCATAAAATACCAACCACTCAACCGTTCGAGCTGAAATTTATGGCATATGTAGAACTTCGTTAAGTATTGATGTACAAAAAATTTCAGCACAAACAGTTGATGTTTTCTTGATTTTTTGGGGTGTCCAAAATCTTCTCTCTCGTGAAAGTGAGTTTTACAGTGATTTTATAGGGTGCAGGACTTTTCGTCTCACCTCTTCCGAACATCCGGTCACATATCCGGATGTTCGGAATTAACTTTTTTTCATGTCCGGCGTCCGTAAAGAGCCGCGTGCAGGAGATCGTAATAGAATACAGGGAGATCGGAATGTTTTTACATGATGTTCGGAATAGAATTTTTCTTGTATATCTGATATAACACCGGGAGATCGTGATGAATAATGTCAGATGTTCGGAATAATGCATGTTACAAAAAAAACAACCGGATGATCGGAATAACATTGACCGGAACTTCGTAAAAAAGATACACTGGGAGATCGTAACGGATATAAAGACTTTTATTTCTGTTTTTCTATATAAGAATAGCGTTCATTTACTTAGCACATTCATAATTATATCAGGAGATATTTTTCTTTCTCTATCGCTGTTCTCTATATTTTAGTAACTATAAAAGTTTTTTCTAACTTTCGTCTTAATGTATTCATAATATTGATAGATGGCAGTAGCTTCTGTACAAATGAAACACTATATAGTGTATGTATGTGGGCACCGTTTAACGTACACAACCGTTTAAGGGAAAGTATAAGCACCATTATAGAGGCACAAAAAAAGAAATATTATTGGTCACAAATTTTTCAAATAGAAAAATTTTTTCTGATTAATGACTCACATAAATTCAGTCAAGGTACTACTGTTTGATAGAGTTTCAACAATTCAACATTATTTTCTAGAATTTCAACAATTTAACATTATTTTCTATTAATTAAGCTACAGCTAAAAAAATTACACGACCGCGGCTACTGCCGTGATCTTTTTGCACCAAAAATGTTATCCATTTTTATACTGCTGTTTCTCACAACAAACTCATTCTGTACATTGTTTACAATGAACTTTGAATTATCAGATGTATATTCAAACCGCTAACCGAAGATCTATTAACTGTTAAAGACTTACATGTTTAAATTTATTATTTAATTCAAGAATAATATATATTCTAGTCGAACCTGTAATACGGTTTTGTAGTTATCTTTTTTTTTTCAATTTTCTCTTTCTAAAAAGAGTATTTTCCTCACCGTTATAAAATTGCATAACAAAACTTAAGGATTCATATTAGAAAAATCTGAAATTCACGGTCTAATCCGTTTTCATCTCCTCTCTTCAAAGGTGAAAACTGCAGTTCTCTATCTGGTTTCTGTCAAAATTTATTAAAAAAAAAACACTCACGAGCATTCATTTAACTGTTACGTATCATAGCAAACAGCTATTTGCCAAAATTTTATAATTGTGTATTAGTTGAATAGCAATGAAATAGCACAGAAAAATAGAGCATCGCTTTCTCTATCATTACATAAAAAAGAAAGTTCCCTCAAGCCTCTATACGAAATGAATATTCAAATTTTTGATCCAAATGAGATATTTAGTTGGATGATAGTAACAGAATGTTGCAATATTATGCTTAAAGTAATATTTAATGAAATCTTGATTTAATAAAGAAAACAGAGGAATACAAATAATAAAGTTTGAAAAAATAAAAAGTAAATAATAAAATAATAAAGAATCCACAAGAATATAAAAATAATGAAGAATCTATGAGAATATAAAAATAATAAAGTATCAACAAGAATATATGTTTCATTTTGAGAGAAGATAAAATGCTCGTGAAATAGTGTGACAACCTTTTGTTGTCTTGAATAAGTCATCAATAATAGCATGTTGCTTGTGTTTGCTACATGCAGTCATACCAATGAAATGATCAGGTTTGTGACTTGTTGCACCTATTAATGTGTATCTGAATCATATTGCGATGTTTTATTTGTGTTATTTTTATAAAATTTGACTTAAGTAATGCTCACTTTTTATCTTTCAAGTAAATGTCAGATGGAACATTAGCCGTTGTTATGGTTGCTTCAACATTTGCAATCAATAGCATTATTGGATCACTAAAATTCGTAAATTTTGGCTCTGAAGATGCGCGTTGAGCAGCACAGACAACATAAATACTATGATACAACTCTTGTTATTGATATAGTTATAGCTCTTTAATAAAGTTTACCTTGATTCTTCTTCATTCCCTTCAGGTGTGTCGAGTATTTTTATCTTCTTCAAATGTTTCAATTCAGCATTTGGTGGTACAACAGTACTTGGTGACCATTTGGTAATTTCATTACCACATTTTTCTGTTAATTGTGTCTTATATTGAGCAATGATCGGATGTTGAATTTTACCATCGATCACACTAGATAGAGAAGAAATTTATTATCATAAATTGCTTCGAATTGTATATCACATAGTGGAGAACAGAATCCTTCAATCTGAAGACCCAGCGCTATTTGAAATTTTCTAGGTGAAACGGAATAAATTTCATTGATATTTATGCGCTTCTGTTATTTGTAATATAGATATACAATTAAAGGACAAAGAAAGGACAAAAAATGACTTCTTTTGCACAAAGGCCGATTAAATTAGTTGAGCAAATTTTTGTAAAGATGCTTCTTTCAATTAGTAATCTTATTTCATTTACACAATAATAAAATCGTATAGAAAACTATATTGACTGTTTTAGGAATTAGAGAAAGTTTATATCATATTAAGGAAAGAAAAATCGAAATCAATCATCCTACTCATGATTTGATTCTTTATTTCATTCAAATCTTTACATTAATCAATTTCTTTATATGAGATAGTGGTTTATCTAAACTATCAGTGGCAAAATACCGAGAAAGATATTTCAAGACGTGGTTTCAAACTGTTTTAAAGCTAAATTGTAAATAAGATGATTAGCTTCAAAAATAAAAGAAAATTTGCACACATTATATGTCTCTTATTAACATTAGTCGTATATCAGCTTTTGATTGAAATATAATTTATAAATTGATTATTGTGAAGCGAAAATAGTGAGAAGAACTTTGAAACATATGAGAGTTATTGGTACTCAAGTTGAATAAGTTCGCGATTACTATTTCGAAACAATATATAACCTAGTCCTAATTTTTCTAGCATTCTATGATATAGAATTCTATAGTATAAATTTCTTTAATTGATGATTGAAGAAACTGAGAACTTCCTAAATAGTTTCAAAGTTTCACCACATACTTGAAAGATAAATAAGAATTTCGATAAATCTTTTTTTTGATCGGACATTTGATGTTATTGCAATCAGTTTCACATTCATACATTTGAAATAAATTACTCAGATGATTCGCAAAAAATGCATCTTCAGAACCAAAACAATTTATATAAACTTCAGTTACCAGGTCTTCTTCGATTTGTTGATATTTAACCATTTGACATGCAAATGTATTTTGATTCATCTTTTTCTGCAAAAGACATCAAAGAAATGATATATAAATAGTTTAATTTCTAACGACAAAAACGTTTTTGAAAAATATCATAATAAATTAGATGGTATTGGCTCATTGAATTGTTTGCTGCAGGTGTCATATCTACTTTAAGTTAACATTTTTGTGTTGATCTCTGAAAATTTAAATAATTTTACTTCCGTAGTTATCCTTCTCATAGTTACATTGCTAAGCATGAAATATTCTTTGTATTTGGATATCATGTGACATAAATTCGATGGGAAATTTTCGGATTTCGTTATTCAACTTCTCGATAGTGGTTCAATAAATGAAATGCCAAGTATTAAAACAGTATATTATATCAATCTATAGACTAAATTGATATTTAATATGTACTCATCTCCGATATGTTGAGAAACATTTAGAATTATGGAACACGCACTTTTAAATAACCAAATGTATTTTTTTCACTTCCATGTTGCTGCTTGAGTGCCTTGTCTACAACACCAATCATTTTTGACCAAATGAAGCGTGCCATATCCCAATCCAGTTTGTGCAATGAGGGCTCCATTTTGAGAAGTGTTTGAGCCACGATATTGTCACGCTGTGCTGCAGATTCAAGGACATATCGAAAAGAATTGTAAGTGAGAAAAGCAAGTCGCATAAATGATAAAAAGTAATCCAAAGTACAGGTTGCTACAAATATGAATCTTAAATTCCCTTCTATCACAGTACCACCATTGTTTGGAACAGCTGGATCACAAGCAACACATTTTCTTCTCATTTCTTTATATTGCAGAGATTGTAATTTATCAGATGTTTCAGGATCTATTGTCAAAATAGCAGTAATTTAGAAAAGCTTATGAATGACAGCATGAACTTACAGAAACAAGGAATTTCGAATCGAACATCATCTGATGTATCATCAAAATTTTTCATTAAATGATTTTCATTATTTACTTTCTTAAGTTCGTCGTATCCTAAACATAAGTACAACTATTTGGGAGACCAAACAAACTAGTCGATAATGAATGTTATACTTATCTGATATATACTAGTGTTGATGAATAACTAGTATTACATAGACGACTATAAAAATTATATGCATCAAATGTAAACAAAATGCAAAATAGAGAGCGTTATAAATAAAATTTTTAGCACCATAGTTACCGTTTAGACCTTGTAAGTGGAACGAAACTGTTTTGTTTTCATTTGTACCTTCCATATTAAAGGAGTTGGTAGTGAATGGTTGTGAAAAACATTGAATATTGTTAAATGAATCACATATATTGTTTGTAGTGTTCTTTAAGAACACTTTATCTTCTTCGCAATAGTTTTGATATCTTTGACCTGAAAGTAAGAAATAGGAAAAAAGAACTTCACAAAAGTATAAAGTATGTCTTACGAGAATTTGATGTGCATGTTTTATTACTTGTTGTATTCTTTGATATTTGATCAATCGTTGAAACTATATTTTTGCCTGTCTTGTTTTCTAAAACAGCAGAATCATATATACGTATGGCACTCTAATACGACGAAACTCACGTAAATCTTTTTAGCTATTTTCTGAATGACTACGATTATGCCAGATTACAGTTTTTTTAATAGATCTATTAAGTGTAAACTAGTACCAATACCGTAGTCGACTGTTCCCAACAATATCCCTGGGAAGAGTCTCATGAAAAATGTGAAATCACCAGAAACTCCTTGTCATGAGTCTTCGGTGAGTTGCACATCTAAAGAACTCCCTTAAAACTCTCCGGGGCACAGTGGTGAGCCAAGGAGGCATATACAAAAATATTTTTTTCCACAATCTAATCGTTTGTGTAGATACATCCATATATGGTCTATCATTTCTTAAAATAGCGGTTCTCAAAGTTTTATAGAGTCAAAGAAAGGTTTTCCCAAGGCTTGGGCCAAGAAGTCAGCATAAATAACCAATGTAAAGCTGCTCGGCAGTTTAACTCAATATTCAACAAGCAATGTCGTAAAAACCTTGCTGATCTATGGATTTTATGGCAAGAAAATGATCCTAATGCAACTTAAAATAGAGTAGAAATTAAGAAGTCTCTCTGCAAAAAACCTATCCAAAATCTACCGTTCGGTATGTTAAAAACCCTACAAAGGAATCACATCTGATGAAGGGCGTATTTTTACCACATTTAAGCACATATATACCCTAATTTAGGTAGTAGCATCAACTCGTGAACCTTTTTCTAGCCTATCCTATAGAATTTCCAAAAATCCACAGTTTTTGTATGGTCATGAAAACACAGTCGCTATTTGCTAATAGAAGAAGTTTTACTCAATGTTTTACCTATCTTTATTTTTTTAGCTGTATTTTTGGGATGGAAATGTTTTGATGTAGTTTTTTCAGTGGCCATGAACAACCGTTTTTCTTGTTCCTGGACTGTTCGGCATGTAATATTGTCAACAAAAAACCAGTCTTCACGAACGCAATTCTTGTATTGATATTGAATTAAGTACAAAAAATCAGCTGGTTTTGCTTGCACGACAATTCCTGAGCAAGTAACATTTCTATTTTTTGATAAATCGAATTTTCTTCCAGTTAATTTTACCAACACTTTATCTAGAACAAATAATTACTTAATAATTAATTTATTAATAAGTATATCAATAGAATAATACTTATCTTACAACGAGATCGATTAATGGTCTTAGAAAAGCAAATCAAACGCAAACAATAAAACTATAGCATTGATTAAATAAGTTAAGCTTAATAAAATCAATATAAAAGCAAGCTAATACTATGTATACTGTACTGCCAACATTGTAAGATATTGCGCAAACTTGCTTTTGGTAGATGGATTTTTGCTTATCGTAATAAAGTTGTATTTTTTCATGTGCTTCTTCTTTCGCTTGTTCTTTCATTTCAATTGCGTTGATTAAAACAGTTCCTGATATTGGTTCTTCATAATCCAATTCAATATAGGTCTAACAATTATTAAATATAGTTCATCTTTATTGAATCTTTGTATGTCAATAAGATATAGCTTGTGGGCACATATTTATCATTTCTCATGTTAAAAATACACTTTGATTTTGTCATTGTTGTTAGACATGAACGGGATTAAAAAAGCTATAGTATCATAGAAGAAACTTGTTACACCATTACTCAAACTATAAGATGTCAAAGTGCCAATATTATAATGAAGCAGGTATGAGACTTCTTGGTATAGGTTTTAATGTACAGGTCACTTTATGCTACCTCGGGAAGAAAAATATGTACCACTGTAATGGATTATAATTGAGCGAAAAAACTATGTTGTAGGGAGAAATTAAAATTCAAGGAAATATAAAATTGTCCTAGAATGTTATGGGAAATTTTGAAATCACCTAAGGCATTTCCTAGAGCAGTTTAAAGTTGTCATGAACTCCAACTTCTTATACAACATATATATATAGCTATAAGATAGCCAGGAAAGTTTTATTTACAATCATCAGAATATCATTTTATCAATATTTTACTTAATTATATTTGATATAATTCATTTTAGATATTTTTTCATACGAACATGATCTAAGCAAGATCTTTTTTTATTCTTTACAGTTAACATTACAATTATCATCACTGTTAAGAGTCAAAGTATAACAAAAACTCTTCCTGGTTATCTGAATTCACGATTTTCATCAAATGAAGATTTCAATTTATCGAAATTGTCAATCAAAGACATATATTAATATTGGCTTGTATAATATATATATTTGAATTGTTTCTTGTTTTTGTTTATTATTAACGACTATGCTAATGTTTACAGGTGAATAAGTATGAATCATAATTCTTTTATGGCATATTATATTATATAGAGAACCAGTTCAATAGATATTTTACTTCACTCAAACTCATTTTGACTTTTTCAATTTATGAGTACATACGTTTTCATCTTCCTCTTCATTCATAACTGCATTTGAACCACCTTTAACAACAGCTTCACGTCCGAAATAAACAAAAAAAGGAGTAAAATTTCCTATGAATAAAAACAATGGTCAGTAAATTGGCAATCAAATTGGAACACATACCAAGACCACGATGCTTTGACTGATTGTAAGTTTCAGAATATAAAGAAAGATTGGTAACCCAATTTTCATTTCCATTTATTAACATATCATAAACCATTTTATTTTTCCAAGACCGATTTAAACGTTCAATCTAAACTCGTCTGATAAAAGCATTGTGAATTGAATTTTATTATAATTAATAACCTTTCCCTGAGATTCTGGATGATAAGCACGTGATCGAATATGTCGAATATTTCTTTTACTACATAATTCGTCGAAAACACCTTTAAATTCTGTACCTTGATCCGTTTGAATAATTGATGGTGTTCCATGTTCACGAAAAATGCATTCCAAATGATGACACACTTCCACTAGTACAAATATCAAATTATATTTCTACTGAATTTTACCTGCAAATTGCTACGTAATTGCACTGTTTAATTAATCTTAACTTTCAGCTATCTACAGATGCAACAACAATACCCTCTAACACGAATTAAACGTACAAAACACATCTGAAAAGACTTTTATCGACTTTATGATACTTTATATCAACTGTAACTGATTGAAAATAATAAATACTTAATTATTGATTTTAAAGATATAACTAATACCTGCACATTTACTGGTTAACGGACGTAAAAACATATATCGTGAGAGGATATCAAGAACGACCAGTACATAACGATATTCGATGTCATTTTGGAATGCCGGCTTACGAGAAAGATCCACTAAATCAACCTGAACACGTTCAAAAACTTGCTTTGCTTGTATAATCTTCTTTGGTCCTTTATTTGAAAAAATTGGACGCATTTGACCACGTGCAGTACTTTCTTTGGTTACTTTCACAATTCGAGCTTCTGACACTTTGTAGTATATTTTATCTGAATAAGAAATAGTTTTCCTAATGTCTGTCCAATAATAAAATGGCCGTGGGTATTTTTTCAGTAGTTCAAAAACGGAAAGAGATAGAGCGCTGCAGTTTTCACCATTGTATAGGCCCTGCTCCCCTCTATCGATCCCCTAATAAATGATAAAAATCCTCATAATTTCCAATAATAGTTTTTATCAATTTTCGAACATTTCGTGAACGGTTTTCCTCTTATGATGAAGGTGTGGGTATGGGTGTATTGAGTTTCAAAACGAATAACGCTCACAAGAACACCCACATCCCATGCCAACCAAACCAAACTTCACATTCCACACTCACACCCACACCTGTAGCCAGAGTCATACCGTACACGTCCACACCCACAC